CGCCGCTTCCTTTCTGGTTCCTCAGCAGTGCTCATTCGAAAAGCTTCTCAAGATCTCGAGAGTACAGCTAGCAACGTGTCTTCCGGGAGACTTTCAGCGCTCAGACAAAGGACCGTGGACCCATCCTTTCCGCTGGAGCAGGTACAATCACACAGCGCAGTCCGAGATCAGTAAGCCCAGTCTTCCACCCCTCGGACCAAGATGCCGAATCCTCACTACGACTTCTTGATCAAACTGCTGCTGATTGGCGACTCGGGTAAGTTTGGAGGGCGGACGGATGAGCGCGAGCAGCACGAAGGGCGAGACTTTCGAGCTCGGCGCAAGTCCTCGGCCAAAGTCACGCACGCCTCTCAGCGAAGGCGAAGGTGCGGGCGATGGTCCTCGCAGCTCTACACGAAGGCGGAGCGCACTCGCCCTTGTCGCGCCGCTTCTGCTCAGGTTAATGGTTGATCAGAAGGCGTGCGCGGTAAGAAGCCAAGCGCAAGTCGGATGCCGAGATCCGAACAGGCGAAGCACGACCTTCACGACGCCAGTGTTAGGAAAGGTCACGCTTGCGTTCAGCTGCGATGCGCAGACATTCCGTTCCCAATCTAATTCTCGCTGAATACTGGCGTCGAGCTCCTTGGGCATGCTGCATTTCTGGCCCTTACGAAGTGTGACGATTTGTCGAGGATGGGTGTTGCGAAAAGTCTCTTGCCAAGCCTTGACCACGATGTGACGCTGACATAGTCGCGTTTTTCTTTTCGCCTCTCTCCTACTCGACTAGGTGTCGGCAAATCATGCTTGCTGCTTCGATTCTGCGATGATGCTTGGACGCCCTCCTTCATTACCACGATTGGCATCGACTTCAAGATTCGCACAATCGACTTGGATGGCAAGCGTGTCAAGCTCCAAATCGTGAGTAGACGGCGTTACTAACAATGCTCGCAGGCCTCACAGCCGACCAATCATTCCTCCCTTTGATTCATCAGTGGGACACAGCAGGCCAAGAGCGCTTCAGAACCATCACCACCGCGTACTACAGAGGCGCGATGGGTATTCTGATGGTATACGATGTGACGGATGAAAGGAGTTTCAGTAGTGAGTGCTAGTATCGCATCTGGCTTGACACTTCCTCCGCTGACACATGGTCTTTTTCTCTGTGTAGACGTGCGAACCTGGCACTCCAACATTGAACAGCATGCTAGCGAGGGTGTCTCAAAGATTTTGGTGGGCAACAAGGCAGACTGGGAAGAAAAGCGGGTGAGTTTACTTCGCCTTGCCGCTGTATGCCTAGGAGCTGTGGGCACTGCGGCTGAAGCCTTTCGCCATTGTCGGTACTACATAGGTCGTCACTACAGAGCAGGGTCAAGCGCTGGCAGATGAATTGGGTGTTCGCTACGTCGAGACATCCGCCAAGACGAATCAAGCTGTGGACGACGCCTTCATTGCGCTCGCCAGGGACGTCAAGTCGCGCGTCATTGACACCGCGGCCGGATCCGCTTCGAGCGGTGGCGCTGGCGCAAACGAGAGTCAAGGCGTGAACGTCAATGCCCAGCAGCCAGCGAGCTCGAGCGGATGCTGCGCTTGAGGGCAAGGATACGAGTACTTCGCAAGTGTGCAGCTGCGAAATTACCAGTCCTCAGGTCTGAGATTTGTCGGCCGAGACCTACATATAACCCCTTCATTGACTTCCAGCTCGGGCGACTTGGATAATGTACATGTCTTTGGCTTTCCTCTCCAAGCTGACGTGCTGCCTGCGCATACGTTGCACTCACTCCATTCTCTAACCAGTCCGCGGAAGCGCAGCAGCGAAAATTAAGCGCTGATCGAGCATGCAACGTCTCCAAAGGTCCATTAAGATCGAAGAAACACAGCAGCAGGGGAGCCTGAGCTTCATTACAGATGTCTGTGCACATGACGTGTTCAGGAGAATGTCCCGTAATCAATCTTGGCCAAGTGTACGCGGCTCATCTGCGGATGCGACGGCTGGCGTTGTCTATCTTGACGCGAGCGTGCAATTGGCAGGATGGCACAGTGCCGAAGTAGGTGCTAGCCTTGAAAACGATGATGATGTCACCATCCCTCTCCCTCGTCGTGTCCCACGAGGCTCGAGGATCGGCTGTTCCATCAGACGCTCGATATCTTGTAGGCGAGTAGAACAGCCTTCGAGACTTTTCGTCGAATTGAGACGAGTAGATGGTGGGGAAGAACCTACCCACTTTGAACAGGGGCACATAAGGAGACAAGAGCTTTGTTTGCTGAAGAGTGAGGTTGCTTCCGACGGTGCCAGTGCCAAGCTGCGACTCGACGGGAGAAGTGAGTAATGATGGTCGAGCGGAAATGCGACTTCTGCCTTTTCTCGCTGTGCGACTTACAGTGTCAGGTCGAAAGGCGGGACGCCAGCCCACGCCATCGGGGAGTTCGCAAGTGCCAGTCCAAGATCCCTGATCCAATTCTCTCCAGCTAGCCCACTCGAGCTTATACAAGCTGAGCGGATCCACGCCATCTTCGGCATCACCAGGAGTGGGCAAGAAAGCCTCGTAGGCTACGATCAGCTCTACATTGCCGCTCAGGACGGGCTTGAAAAAGTCTGTGGACGTGCCGAACACGTCCGGTGAGCTGCCATTCAGCGCGGACGTAGCTGTGGGCCTTGCAAAAAAGACTTTCTCCAGAGAGCTGTACGGCTGTGACATTGCCCAAAACTTGGCGGTCAGATCAGCAATCACATGCGTCTCGAACGCGAGCACGCTCACAGGTATCGGAGAAGACGGCCTAGACTCTTGCAGAGCATGCAGTGGGTCGTAAAAGTGCCAGCCAGGATCTGCATGTAGTGGGGAGGGAGTCGGTGAGCAGGCTAAAGATGCGGCACAAAGGGAATGCCGAACAACCCACCATCCGGACTTTTCCACTCTTGCCACTGGGGATCCGGCCGAGCAACGGCAACTCTCAATTTGCTGAATCTGTAAGGATACCTCTTCTCTCGACTCGAAGGAGCATCTGATCTCTTTGGCGGGTCGGCCGGCCTCCGTTTGGACCTTGGTTCCCTTGAAGCCGGCAGCCGCGAGACGCGACCAAGATGATCTCCTTGAGCCACCAGGTCTCCCAAGGTGACTTGAGGCTGTATGTCTCCGCATAGGCGCAGCACAAAGCCCCACTCGTTGCGAATCGATACGCAGATGCCCTGCTCGTTGTTAAGCTTGTTGAGGGGCGGGAACGAACGGGTGTAATTTCCAATCCAGACCACTTGCCCACCCCAAGGAGCTTGCAGAGATGCCCAGGTTGATTCGCCAACGGTTGCAGACTCGCGTACGTCGTCAGACGTGGACATATTTGCGACTGGACCCGGGGCTGGTACTCTGATTGTCACGTCCCCATTCCTTCACGCGGATGAGAGCAACGTCGGCGCAATTGTTGATTGGGTTAGCAAATGTACTGCTTTAGTAGTCGCGAACCTCAACCGCATCACTCACCAGCCTGACCAGCGTAGATCCACGCCCTTCATCTCGTCGTTCGACCTGGCTTGGCCTGCCTTGGCAATGAAGGGATCTTGCATTACTGTCAAGCACAGGAGCAAGTAAAGTCAGCTAAATGTAAGCGACGAGCGAGCTGGCTTCTCAATCTGCCCTCCTCGGATACAGCCCTGGCAGGCGACACACACTCACAGCCAGCGACGCGATTGACTGATGTGACAGTTTCGGTATCGGGTGGTACCAAAGGCCAACTGGCTCTTGGCATTTGCACGTGGGCCACCCACCACTGATACGAGGCGCTGTCCCTTCCAGGGAAGCGCAGCCGAGCTACGGCACTCCACAGGCCGACACTGACATCCTTACCAGTCGCTTCTTCCCTAGCCCCACCGATTGCCGAGAGAAGCTCATGCGCGGGAGCGCAGTCCGCAAAGTAAGCTCTCCCATCAGGGTGGACCTCTGTGGGAGTGCAGCCAGCGTCGACTAGTAGACCATCGGCAACTTCTTGTCTCAGCTCACTCGTCCCTTTGGCGCGCAGGTCGTCCTCTCTACAGCTCTCAACGCCTCCCACTGCGCCTCTCTTGGCTCCGCATCCCAGCGTTACCTCTTCCCAATCCCTCTTTTGCATCCGGGTCCACTCCAAAATAGGTTGAGCGTCATCTTTGGCTGCGAGGATGTCATCGTAGTGGTCCGAATGAAAGTGGAGGAGCAGGCGGGAGGCATGTCCAGAGGCCGAGTTGATATGAAGTCCTGAGGGAGTGAGGCCGAAGCGTTGTGCAGATCCTTCCACATGAGCGAGATCAGAATGGAGGGGATCGAAGAAGGGTGACTGATGGTTGGCCACTGTAGCTGAGGAGACCAGTGAAGCTGCGAAAAGCGCGGCCAAAAGGTGGCTCGTACTCCAGACGAGCATTGTATGCAGCTTGCCCACCTTCGGCGTCGAGATTATCAGTAGGGCAGTCGGGCGTTAGAAATCGGGATGAGTAGGCTCGGATTGCAGTCTGAGTTCGAAGCGCAGTCTGAGTGTGCTCATCTTCCAAATGCTGCGTCGTCAGCAAGAGTGGGAGGTGTGCTTCCAGAACGAAACGAGGAAGAAGGTGGTGGGACGGATGCTTTAGTGTCGCAGACATGTTGACTTGGGTTTCCTCCAAAGCAGTCACTCGTGACTGGAGTCCTCAAATCTTGACTCACGACCGGGCGGGAAAGGAGCATGCGGCTGTGCCAACGTGTGGAGACGGTCACGTGAGACCGCATGCTTGGAGTCATTTACTCTTGCTGGAGCGTGAATCAGGACGAATTCGCTGATTCGCTGATGTTCTGGATTTAGAAACAGCCCTTGACGCACAGCATCATGCAGCATCAGCATCAGCAGCAGCGCCTGGCTGCGCTCGCATCTGCACCCGCCGAAGCGAGGGACAGATGTGTCCAATCTACACAGCACGCCAGATATCACGACCGGCCACGAATGTGAATGACACGCTACGGTAACGATCCTTCTAAACGTCATTCTCGTGCAGATACGGCCCATGCGTATCCGTGGCCATTGGAGTCGCCTCACCGTGATCGAAGCGTGGCAGCGTGGCAGGTGGCTTGTATACAATCAAGAACGGTTGTGAATATCGAAGCTATGCCAATTAGTAAATACACCGGTAGCACAGGTCTAGAGGCCGCACACGGACAGTACCCAGGTTGATTGGTGTAGGCGTGCACGGCGTCGTGAGTATAAACCATGCAGCAAGCTCCGGGTGGGCGGCCTCTTTCTGTTTGCGTGCACTCGCCCGCGGTGCAGGGGTCGAGCAAGCTATATATAAATGAACGAGCAAGCTTCTGCCGCGCTGCTGCAGCTGCCGCTGCCGCTGATGCTGATGCTTATAGCTGCTTTTTAATCGCGCTCCCTGCATGCATGCAGATCCGAGCTCGCAATGAAGCAAGGCTGAGAAAAGCCTCTTGCGCTTTATTTATACCGACGGGATAGTCAAAGTCGCGAGTCGAATTAGCCGCGCGATCAATCACAACTGTGAATCATCGTAAAGTTGTCACATCCATGATGCAGTCACGAGTCTCACTCATCTCATGCATCTCACGACTTGGAACTGCGACTGCCTTAACTGCGCACTCTACCGCCTCGTCTACGATCTCGCTCGCTTCCATCCACGCCGACGTTCGTCGATAGCGCTCGTCACTCTGCCCTTTCCCGGCTGCCGTCACAGCGATATACTTCGGATCACAGGTGCGACTGCCCTGAGGCTCACTCGTCAACCCCATTTGGACCGCCTTTTCGCATTCACAGGGCAGTTCATCGAAAAGTGCCACTGGCGCAAGACAAAGAGTTGGGACGCCCACCCATTTCCAATCTCCACCTTTTTGCACGAAGTAGAGGAGACCTGATCCATCCCATTTCCAAACGCAGCGGGTTGTACGATGATCCGCTCACCGACCAGCTTGTTATCTGGCGGATCGCGCGCAAAGAGTGCGAGTCTAGGAGCAGCCGGTGCAGCCGGTCTATCTCTGCGAGCGCAACTGTCGGCGCGTAGTCGAGTGACCAATCTAGGCGTCGTCTTGCTACTGGCTGTAGCTTGCGCTTCTCTTTTGCTCAACCTTAGATATGCTATTGCGGGTTCTAGACATGTCAGGGGCTTACCTCCCCCTGGATTCGGATCGTGGGAGAGCTTCCACGGTCTTACGCCTTCCACATTGCTCGACAGCCTACCGCCTCCAGCCAAGGGCGCTGATGCGCTCAATCACCTGGTAATTGTGACGGGTCATGCCGTCTGGGGTGAGTCTTCTCCAAAGTGCGCAGCACACACGTCAGCCCTCGCACTGCTGTGAGCCCACGGGTAGACGCAAAGAGAATGCTCATCGTTGCTAGTTGTCTTCGCTCTGCAGCTGGTTGCGACTTCTCTGGTCGGGAAAATGACGAGAATTGGGTTCTGGAGAGTTGGCAAAGAGGTGGCAGCACAAGGACATTTTGGAAGCACATTGAAAAAGGGTGAGCGACCATGGGAGCGAGCTCAAGTGGCGCTGAGACGGAGGCAGCATCTCGGCCTGAGGCTCGTTGCATCTTGCGAGAGAGATGCAGCGAATCGCTGACCTTTCTGGCCGCTCGCCGTTCCTAGAGTGGAAATTGCAGATGCAGATCCGACAGCCCTTCTTGTCTTTAGCGGGTGCGCATGCAGCTGGCTATCTGCAATCATGAGGACAGTGAATGCTGACCGCACCCTGATTGTGGCGCACGCAGAGGTCAGACTAGACCAACATCCCTTCAGACAGAAGGCGAATCATACTTTTCTCTTGCCGTCTCGTCAAGTATGCGGCTGCCCGTCTTGCCTGGATTCAACTTCTCCACACATGGACCAGGTCCTGGGGAAGCAAAGTCGTCCAAAAAGATCACTGCAGAGGCGGACGAGATTTTGGGCAGGGTCGGAGCTGGTGCACAAGCCAATGCTGGTGTGGCGGTAGCAAAGGGACTGCAGGGTGTACGCATGACCACGGAAAACTTTGCTATGGACAGCTTCGAGAACCTGCTCTTCTCCATTGCTCGCTTTAGAGAATTTACGGGACGCTTCCCGATTCGTATCACCGTGGTGGGTTATGGCATGAAGAAGAGCAGATTTGAAGACCTCCACGCCAAAGCTATCAGATGGCCTGTCAAATCGTTCGTTGGAGGTCAGAGGCGCTTCCACTATGTCGGGATCGACGATGATGGCAACGAGGCAGACATCAAGGCGGAGTATGACGGAGAGGTAAGAAGTTGTTTTGGTGCATTGTGCGACTCCGAAGACTGAGCTGAATGGGCCACATTCCTTTTCATGCAGAAAATCAAGACGTATCCAATGTTCGAAAAGGACATGTATGGCTGTCATGGTCGCTTGCTCGTGAGTAGCTCGTGACATGCCAGACTATTTCAAAAGCTTCTTCTCACGCTTGCTCTCACCTCACAGGACAAGCGACGTGCGAGAAACCCTACCAGAAGGTTCCACTCTTACTTCTCTGGCGCCCCCGAGATTGCGGATCTTTTGGACTGGTGTCCACCCGATGGTACGTCAGAATGCACCTGAGTTTACGCGCATACACCTCGGGCTAATGTCATTCTTCCTGCAACCTGATCCGGCAATCAGGTCTTGGTCTGCAAGGCATCTACGTCGAGTCTTTGCCCTGGGACCGAAGAGCGAATCCCACATCTGGATGGGGTCGGGGCACAAAAGCGTATCAGGAGGAGCAGAAGAAGAAGCATGTGGCCAACCTTTTGCCGGATAGTCGTTGGCTGGAGTATGGCAGAGAGAAGCAATGAGGTGCAAGACGCCAATATCGAGCGTTCCGATGAAGGCGCGCCGCTGGGTTCATCCACCTCTCCAGCGTCTCTTTCGGAGAACCTTGAGTCCCCTGCATGGTTGTATTTACATGAGTTGACAACGCGCAAAGATTCCACTTCAATTTCTTTGAGGGGCCGATTCAGCATTTCTCAGCGACAAGAGAGGAGCTCTTCATTGCAAGTCGACCGTCCCGTCCTACACTTCAAAACGATGTGACTGCAATCAGAGGACATGATGACTTGTGACGTTGTCTGTGGCATTTCGAAAGCCCTGGCTGCAATACATGGCTGCTTCTGACGCATTCTGGGTCATTTGCGCATGGGCAAGTCTACTAGCGTTGATGCGCCTGCTGGACTTTGGGAAAGTCGTGCTTGCATCATACCTCACGACTGCGGAGCAGCGCGAGCCAATGATTTGCAGACCTCTCGACTCCAATCTTGACATGCACCAAATTTTCCACTCCCTGTGATGACAGCACTTGCTAGTGCAGCCCCATGCTTGCATTCCTCTGCTTAGTAATGTCGTACGGGTAAGATGGGCTCCGCCCTGATCTCTGACAAGTCGCTAGCCTTGTCCTTTTCAGCGTCAAACTCTGCTATCACCGATCTGCGGGGTGGAAGAGCACCGAAGAGTCAGATCTGAAGCATCAATTGATGATGTTGATCTGCTGATTGCAAGCATTGTTGGAGCTCTTGCCTTGCAGAAATACTCACACGGCATCTCCCTTCATCACGTACAGACCCAAAGGTACCACTTCCACGCCCGCATCCATGCTATAAATTCTCTCTACGCTCCCGCTCAGGATGATCGACCCGTGAATATCAAAGCCTTGCAGTGTGCCGATGATGATGCGCCCATCCTGTGTCAGTGTGAGCACTTGCTCTATGAGCGCATACAGGTGGGTCGGTCAGTCAGGAGCAGATAAGGCTTTGTGCTTGTCAGACGAAGCATCTAGCCGACGACCCGACCACTCACGCTGAAGGTAGCCTACGATTGCTTGGTTCGCCATGGTTGAAATCAAAGCTCGAGACTCGTCTCGGACCTCAGCATGCGACAACACCCGAGTACTTGCTGAGCTTACCGAGTCCTCAATTACTGGTGAGTCATGCCTTTGTGCGGAGTGAGGCTGGATCCGTGCAGTTCACACGCGCGCACAGCCAGTCGAGCGTGGTTCCACCTTCCGGTCGCTCGTTCCGCGAGTGACGCTTTGAGACCGGGGCTGTGCAATGTGAGATCGGTCGAAGTCGGGCTGTACAGTGTAGTTCGTGGGCGCGTGCGCGGGGCCGCAACGGCCGAAGATTGGGGGATGAGAAGGGACGATCGAGGGTGAAGAGTGTGAATGGTCTAGCACCTGCTCCTGTTAGATGGAGATGCAGGCTTCCTAGCGCTGATTCTCGCGTGCGCGTGTATGACTCGAATTCAGTCGGGCCCCAACGTAGTGACTCGAACCGGCTTGCATGGAGTGCGGAGCATGAAAGGGGATTGATTGGCAAGGAAGGAAGATTGACTCGTGACTCTGACTGGCTTTATTCGTGATTGCTTGGTGATCGGATTCTTCTCCGCGCCCCATCGTCATCCCATCCATGCCTTTCGTCGTTGCTCGGTGGGCCGTGCTGAGCCGTGAGTGGTGCGCACAATAGTAGGCAGACGCGTTCCACGGACGCGATGCCGCGGCTAAATCAATTTGCAAAGCCGCTCTGATGCACGCTGCATCATCGCGGGCGGCGTTGTGGCAAAAATAATAATCAACAATCACGAAACTTGAATCACGAATGAATCTGAACGCAGCCGCACAGCAGGAAGGCGGCCATACGATGCTGTATATATCATCACGCAGGCTCAAATTCACATCCTGATGAGTCACGAGATGCTCATGTTTGAACCCTTTCTTCATCTCTCCATGGTCTCGCAGCCCGTCGACTGCGAAGTGCCTTGCCTTGTTTGAAAAGGAGACAGCTGTGCTCGCTCTCGCCCCCCGTTCCGCCACGTCACACCTCGCGCTCGTTTGCAAATCAGGTACCGCATCCAGCCTGCTGTGCTAATCGCAGCAAACGCGCCAGCATCTGCAACGATCCATCGAGTCTTCCATTATCGTAGAACCGTCGTCATCCACCAGGCCGCTCGTCCACTTGAGACAGGACTTCATGGCAATCGCTTTGTGTCTTCATGGCAATCGCTCTGTGTCCACGACCCTTTTGGGGGGACGAAGACTTCACACAATGCTTTCGGGACAAGTAAGTCGGGTCTTCGCACCTTCCACTCGTGAACGTCCATCACAGAGTGTCTGATGCAGCCCTGCGGCTGACCTTTGAATCCGCGTGCCTCGGTCGCAGCTATATCAATCGGCTCTTGCCTTTGCTCGTAGTGAGCCTGTCTATGCTGGTATTGCTGGGCAGAAGTCTGGCATCTCAGTCACGCAAACAGCGCTCACGTGGTGCTGTTGCAGGCCTTGACCCTGCAGCATCGTCATTCACCATCCAAAATGACCGGGCGCCCTATGGCCCCGAGGCGAATGCGACGTCTTCGCGCATCAGCACTGGCATCTTCGCGCAGAAAGTTCCGTTTCCAAAAAGGATTCTGTACTCGCTGCTGCCCTGGAACGCTTCCCGCCTAACACAGTGGGCCCCCAAGCAGCATGTGGACGTCAAGGGAACCCAAATGGCCGCTGCTCAGCTGCTAGTCTGGCAAACTGAGAACGCGGTGGTGATTAACGAGGTCCATCGCTCCTCCACCAATGCAACCACACCAAAACAACAACAGCTTGATCGCAAGTCGGAGCTAGCAAAAAGAGTCACCGAAAGCTTGGGAGGCGTGTTTGCTGCTGCTTTGTACGCTGCTGATATCTCCGCGCAAAGATGGGCGTGGGTGGTCTTGTGGGTGAGTCGCAAGCGGTGGGTGCCTCCGCTGAACGGTCCGGCTGACTCATTTCCTAACGACTTTGAACTGATTCTCACAACGTCTCAGAGCTACATTGCTCTGCTAGGAACGCTCTCGCTCGCGACGCGACGCGCTCTCTTCGCGCACAAGGGCGTCCCAATACTCTTGGCATTCGCAGTCTCTATCCTCAATCTGCGTTCAAGAGTTCTTGATGAAGAGCGCAAAGCTTTGCCGGTGGCGCAAGTGGTGGTCAGCGGACTTCTAGCGCTGCCTACACTGTTTGCTCCACTGCATGGGAAGCTTCCTCGCAGACTCAAAGCGATTCATGCAACCATGACTGCGCGCAATGATTTTGCAGAGCCCGGGACAGCGCTGCCGAGCCCGCGCCTAGACGCTGTGGACGAGAGACCGATTTCCGGGGTTGACGAGGAAACTCCTCTACTTGCCGCCGCGGCTCCGCAAGGCGGTTTAAGGCACGAACCGCATGGACCCGAGCTGTCGAACGCTCGTCCAGAGCCTCGAGTGGAAGATGATAGACCAATACCAAGTGCCCCAGCTGAGCCGGCCCCATCGCCAGAAAATCGCGCCAGTCTCTACTCTCGCGCCGCGTTTGGCTTCGTCACGCCCTCAATCGTACGTCACTACAAGGAGCAATTCACTCCGGAGACTGTCCCGGATCTTCCTCCCGCCGATCGTGCCGCAGCTTGCGTGGCAAGCTTCCGCGCTGGCGGCGCACGCGCAGATGCTGATGACCAAGATCACCAACAACTGGCGCCCAGCTCAGCGCCTTTGGTCTGGCGATTGCTCTCGCATTTCAAGGGTCAGCTCCTCTTGCAGCAGATTTTTGCGTTCATCGCTGCGGTAGCCACCTTGACCCCTCCTATCGGCCTGCGGCTCATTCTGAGCTACATTGCGGAGCGCGATGCAAGCAAGCGAGGCTCGCAAGAGCCACGAACGAGCTTTCACATGGCACGTGCGTATTGGACTTCGCTGCATCGTTGAGGAGTTACAGGAGCTGACGTATGCTGGCCCGTCAACAGTCCTGTTCGTGGCCTTTCTCGGTCTTGGACAAGTCACGGCATGCGTCACCAATTCGCAGGCTCTGTGGGTCGGGCGCCGCATCTGCATTCGCCTCAGAGCCATTCTCATCTTTGAAATCATCGCCAAGACACTGAGGCGACGAGAGCTAGCTGGGACCCGCAAAGTGGAGGGCGATGATGACAAGAAGAACCAAGGCGACGAAAGCAGCGATGATGGGAAAGATCACGAGAACGACTCAAATGAACCTGCCGATGCCGGCCAGGTTTCAAATCTTGTCTCAGTCGATGTGTTTAAGGTGAGTCGCGCATTGTACATACATTGGTCAGCGAGTATTCACTGAAACAAGTTGACTACAGGTCAGCGAGATTGGGGCCTACCTCCACTTCCTTTTCCCGCAAGCACCTATTGAGCTTGGTTTGGCGTCCTATCTACTGATCCGCCTACTGGGTCCAAGTGCAGTCATTGGTCTTGGCGTTCTGTTGCTTAGTGTACCTCTGCAGACTTTGACAGCACGATGGTTCACGAGGGTCTCGGACGAGCTCTTGCGCGCAACAGACAAGCGTCTGAACTTGACAACAGAGGTACTCAATTGTATGAGGACCATCAAAATGTTTCACTGGGAGAGAGCTTTCGAACACAAGCTCATCGAGACTCGAAATGCAGAGCTTAGAGTCTTGCTTAGGCGTGCTGTTGCATGGCTTGCGAGTGCTTTGTCGTATTTCGGAGCGCCGATGCTCGTCACGTTGGCCACGTTGACAGTGCACACGCAAGTTTTCCATAATCCACTTCCTGCAGAAACGGCCTTCACAGCCCTGGCACTATTCAACGCTCTTCGGAGTCCCATCGACACTCTGCCGGACATGATCGCCAATATCCTCTCTACTTTCGTGTCCTTACGTCGCATTGACCGATTCTTGGCGGAGCAGGAGACAAGCAAGTATGAGCAACTTTCACCTGAATACGAGGACAATCCCTCGCAAGACTCTGGATCTCGGGTCGGATTCTCGAAGGCGCGCTTCACCTACGACTACGAGGCCGACTTTGACGAGCTTGACGAGGATGCACCTGTGCCCTTCAGCCTCGAAGTGGATGTTCAATTCCCCGAAGCTCTAAGTCTTGTTGTTGGACCTGTGGGGTCGGGCAAGACCACCTTGCTGATTGCGTTGCTCGGAGAGTGTCGACAGCTGAGTGGAAGGGTCTACTGCCCTTGTCCTGTTGCCCGCGCTCTGGTGCGGCCCGACCCTCGAACCGGTCTCAGCGAGACCGTGGCGTACTGCCCGCAGACTCCCTGGCTTATAGGAACAACTGTGAGAGAGAATATCCTCTTTGGGAACAAGTTCAACGATCAGAGATACGAAGCAGTCTTGAAAGCTTGCGCGCTCGAGGCAGATCTCAAAGTCCTGGAGTACCACGACCTGACCGAATGCGGCGAGCGTGGCGTGGTGAGTCATGGCGTTCTGTACAGCATCCTCTGTATCTCGACGCTTATCCCGCCCTTCCTTGAAACCTATGAAGGCTCTCTCCGGAGGGCAAAAAGCCAGAATCGTAAGTAGAGGCAGAGAGAAGCTTTAGCTGACGTCGAATTAACAAAGCTGGGCGCTGAGACTCCCCGCATTCGACCAGGCGCTTGCTCGAGCACTCTACTCCGACGCTCGATATGTCCTGATCGATGACGCACTCTCAGCTGTTGACGCACATACCGCCAAATTCCTTTATCTTCACTGTTTGAAGGGGCCACTCATGCAGGGTCGAACTGTCATCGTGAGTGATGACCTCGAGTCGCAGAGACAGACTGGTGTTTGCTGACTCCTCACCTGGCCCCTCCTGTTGAAGATGGTCACGCACGCTGTCGCTTTGTGCTTGCCTGGCGCATCGTTTGTCGTTGCCCTTGAAAACGGCCGCGTCCAAGCAGCGGGGAGCCCCGCGGAAGTGCGCGCTTCGGGCGCATTAGACGACGAGATCTCGAGCGGGGGAGAGGCAGCGACTGAAGAAGGCGAGAAGGAGCAAACGATCGAGGAGCTCGATGAGGGCGTCCGTGCCGCAGAGCGTGCTGAGATCAAGAAGAAGCAGGCGATGAAGAAATCACACGTCAATGAAGAGACGTACGCCAAAGGAAGCATCGGCTTGGGATCTTACAAACTTTACTTGCGTTCCTTTGCAAAGACTTTGACAGGGTGAGTGTCCAGATTTGAGGCCGTCGTTCAAGACTTCGTTTAAGCTGACAATTCCTTCCTTGCTCTAGTCTCGCCCTTTTTTGGATTGTCACGATCGTCGTCTTTGTCACGGTTAGGGCGACAGATGTCGGTGCCGCAGCGTGGCTACGTCGATGGGCAGCGCTATACAGCGGAGGCCAGACAGAGGCCAAGAGCTCTGTGACTGCTGCATCTGCGACCCCTTGGCATAGTTTCTACTCGGCTCAACCGCTCATGTTGCCTCCGATTAAAGCCCTTCAGAATGCCGCGAGTGCAGCAATGCAGCTACCTAGCTTGAACGCCACACGAGCTCACACCGCGCCAGAAACGACAGCATTGTCGCAACCATCGCAAGATCTAACAACATACTATCTCAGCATCTACGCGATTTTGATTGGGTTGTATATCCTGCTCTGTCTCGTCAGAGATGCCTTAAGCCAGTTGGGAGCGCTGGCAGCGTCTCGCGAGCTCCATCAGCGCTTGCTCTCCGCGATCCTCGCGGCTCCTCTTCAATTTTTTGACAAGACACCTGTAGGAAGGATTGTCAATCGTTTTTCAAAAGACATTGAGACCATCGACCAGGAAGTCGCCAGCACGCTGTGCTTCTTCGTCGACGTCGTATTGCAGGGCACCACAATCCTCGTGGTCGCCGTCTTTGCAGTTCCAGCTTTCATCGGCGCTGCTGCCCTAGTCGTCGCCACAACCTACTTCATCGGCAGGCTCTACTTGACACCTTCTCGCGACCTGAAGCGTCTCGAGTCCATCTCCAGGTCTCCAATCTTTACCTTGGTCGGCGAGGTGCTCTCTGGTGCCGTCGTCATTCGAGCGTGGGGAGATGCGACTAGATTTACCCGCCACTGCTTGAGGCTTGTAGACAAGGTGAGCAACACAGCCATTGGATTCATCGACAGGGTCGTTGACGATGGCTACGTTTTTTGTTGCTAGACAAACCGTCCTTTCTTCTTCCTATGGTTGTGTAACCGCTGGCTCGCTGTCAGAGTTGACACAATGTCTGCGGTAGTGACCGTCGGCATTGCCGCTTTCCTTGTTGCCAACGAGCGAGTAGACGCAGCTCTGGCTGGCTTCACCCTTAGTTTCAGTATTCAAGTGAGTCCTGCTGCGATTCATTTTGCCAGCGCGCTTCACCTAGCTCACGCTTGCGCTTCTTCGACAGCTTGTCGACGCAGTGCTTTGGATCTTGCGCATGGCTGTCGCAGCCGAGATCGAAGCCAATTCTGTTGAGCGGCTGGAAGAGTACATGAAGCTGGCGCCAGAGGAGCCTGCTGGCGCAGGTTGGGAACCTCCAGCTGCGTGGCCTACAGACAGCGCTCAAATCGTTATCGAGAATCTCTGCGCTCGATACGCGCCTGAGCTTAAGCGCGTTCTTGACGGTGTTTCTTTCCAAGTGAGGGCTGGAGAGAAAATTGGGATCGTGGGGCGCACAGGATCAGGCAAGAGCACCCTCATTCTGGCTCTTCTACGATTCCTGGAACGCGAAAGGGGTAGCATCACTATCGAGGGCATCGATGTAAGCGACGTGCCACTCGCCACTCTACGTGATCGCCTAACGGTGATCCCGCAAGACGCACAGCTCATCAGCGGTACCGTCCGCTTCAACCTCGACCCGATGAATCGCTGCGATGACGCCGAGATATGGGCGGCACTGGAGCGCTGTCAATTGGCACCTCGCAATACCCCTGCTGCGTCAAGAGCTGCAAGTCGCGCGGCGAGTAGGGCAGCAAGCCGTGCAGCATCGCCAGTGCGCGAGCCAGAGGATGGCGCGTCAGAGGACGGCGCCTCGACCACGGTGGTGACCAGTCTGGACATGAAGGTCAGCCAGGGAACCCTTAGTGCTGGTCAAAGACAGCTCATGGCGCTGGCTCGCGGGCTGCTCAAACTTCGTGACTCGCCGATCCTGTTCTTGGACGAATCGACAGCAAGTCTAGACGCTGCTTCGGATGCTGCTTTCCAGCGTACGATTCGCGAAGAGCAGGCGAGCCGGCGCCTTACAGTGCTGACTGTGGCTCATAGGCTCAAGACCATCATAGACTACTCCAAGGTGTTGGTCCTCGCCAATGGCAAAGTCTTGGAGTTCGATACCCCTGCGAATTTGCTGCGCAACGAGCACTCAGAGTTTAGAGCGCTGTGCGAGAGGTCCGGAGAGATGGATCTCTTGAGAGACATGGCCTTCAACGCGGAGCGAGAAGCGACTGCTAAAACTACTTAGAACGCTGCTGTATAGACAATCAACCTCGCAGCACCAATGCTGATGATTTGTTAATAAATTGCACGACGTGTAGGAAAGGAGCGTGGCGCGCTTCGCGCTGCGCCGAAAGATTTCAAAATGAACGCGGCGTGACATGGGCGTGTCTGGTATATTCATACCGCGGGATCTATGTAGAACGGATGGCAGGGAATGGGCTCTGGATGGCCAGATGTTGTCAATCGTGCACTGACATGAGAATGTCAAGTTTGTTGTGGGTCGAGTCCTGGTGAGTCGAGTCCTGCTCCAGTGCCGGGTGCGCTGACGTCTGCTTGATATGTACCGTCCTGCACGGGAGCTTTGAGGGCGGATTCCGTAACTACTGAGTCCTGAGCTTGGATCCGAGTTTGAGCTGGGCCTGACGTCTGCGACTGCTCGTCTCGTTCCACGATTGCGGCTTCAAATAATTTTGGCAGCCTGGAGTGGATCTTGACGTACTTGTACTTGACGTAGTGGTAGAAGAGGAAAGGGACGTGTACTTTTGCCACCTCTCGAAGCAGACTGCGTGGCGCTGCACCTGGCTTGTCCGAGTCGACTCTCTTGACGATCCATTGGGACTCTGCGTTGACATTCATAGGGGCGTTCCAGCGCGAGGTCATGCCGTCATCCCTGTACGCGAAGTGAGCACTGAATTTGACTGTTGAAAACGCGTTCAGTCGCTCGGTGACTGCATGGGCAAGGACAGCAAGGAGCCGTGATGGTTATCGTCGTCAGCCTGCACTTCGATAACGGCGAAGCCCTGCATCTCGCGCTCCTCACTGTGGTACAGAGAGGCGTCGTTCGAATCCTGCCTTACTTCTACCATATGAGAGGCCGTGTTGAGCATTACAGGGGGATCGTGCAAGAATTGTATCACCTTGTCGAATTGCACCTCAATCTCTTCGGAATGATCCCACCGGAAGACGACCATCTTGGAGGAATGCGCTTTTCTATGCTTCTTCGAAACGGATACTTATAGGAGGCCGAGAAAGGAGCTTCGAAGTTGTCTCCTGATGCCAAAGTTGGACGGTCTGCCCATCAGTGCGTACCGAGGTAAACGCGTCCAGCGGCAGCTGTGAGGTGTGCCTTTCTAGATGTCGCTCACAGTGCTTCTCCCCTTTCAAACATATTAAAGCTTCGGGCTACAATGCGCAATCCTTGTGTGTATAGATAGACGGTGATGGTGATTTGATACGTACTTTGCGGATACTTTGACGCCGCCACGTTCTCCCCCCAATTGCACACGAAAGATTCACGATTTGGCATGCGCCCACGTACCTACTTGATTGCCCATGCACAATCACGAACCACGCATCGAGTGAGCGCCGCTCGCTGCCTCCCGCGCGTGAGCGGAATGAACCGTTCGATGGCATTTGAGTTTGAGTGCGCTGCAGATGCGAAGCAGGGGGATTGCATGTCAAGTCACGTGTCTTCGGCCATACGACGCGCTTATTTTTGGGCACAGCTGGTGCATGCTGCTGCTGGCGGGGGTGTGTGCACTGTGCATGGGCATCCGCATGCGCTACGGCCCTGCCGCCGCCCCACCGTCGTTGCAAGGCAGCCTGCTGACATGTGCAACCGACACCAGCTTGTGCAGTACTCTGGAGTCACGAGTAGTAGTAGGAGCCGACCTCAAATGAGGTCAAATGCACACAGCAGCTATACGATTCTGAGTGACTGACAAGCAGAAACGTGTGTAATAGTCGGATTCAGCAGAGCGGGAGTCTCAGGAGGTGGGCCAAGATAACACAAATCGTGAGGTGCATTCCTTGCTTACTTGGTCCTCAGCTGATCGCGCCTTCTGGCCGCATGTTGTGCATGAGTATATGTATTTTAAATTGTGTGTGCAAAATGTGCCCGGGCCGGCTAGTATAGTGGGATGAGCCATCGACCTGCTGGAATTTCGACCCTTGAGCATAGGACTTTCGCTTCTGGTTGCATGACACCTCGCAATAGGGCTTGGTGCATCCCGGAGGGTTAGTCTTTTTGGTCCCTGCAGCAATTCGAACACCGTGCGGTGTCCACCGCTACCTATGTGGTCGCGCATACGTGATCCCACCGCCCACCCCACCTTGTCATCGCCACTGGTATCACAAATGTGAAGGTGCAAAGCGAGCAACAAGCGACCAAACAAAGCCTCACTCACTACTCACGACTCACGACCGCTCATCTAGCCCAGCTGTCTAAGTCTTCATTCATCCGACGCGGCGGCCCTCCACACCACGCCAAGCCTAACCTCCCTCTTTTGTCTACGTGAGCGTCCGGTACATGGATGCCGAGCTAAGTGCGGTTTGCGAAGGTTTGCATATTTCTCGACAATTTCCAGTGCAACGAGAACGTCGTGGATACACAGCCAGTCGACCGCTCCGTATTCTCTGCCTGGTACACGCTTTAGACATTACGCGTGTCCGGGAACATCTCCGCTCACAGCCTCTTCAACCATCCTCTCTGGCGCTTCAGAGCGTCCCGGAAGCTTCTTGCTCGCCCGCAGCCTTTCGAAAGCGCACTTTCACAAGATTTGATCATGTCGCGAGCGTCATCTACTGCTGATGACGCCTCAGGCAGCGAAGACGAGTTTGCGGAGGCGCAGCCTTCGCTATCTGACGAACTTGCTGACGATTCGCTTGCTAGGGTAGCTAATGGCGCAGAAGGGTCTGATTCGAAGCGCTCCTCAGGTGATGCCAAGCAGACAATCGATGCAGCCTCGAAAGTGCACCAGGCAAAGGATGCAAAACCTTTTGCTTCCCGAAGCCCTTCTCCAGTGAAGACCAATAGCCCGCCACGGGCCAAAGGCGCAGGGGTAGCTGCTCTCATGGAACGATTCCAAGGCGGAAGATCCACTCCTCCGTCAAGCGCGCAGGCCAAGACGGCATCAAAACCTTCAGGTGGAGAGCAACCCTCCTCGAGCGCGAGCTCGTCTGTCAAGCTCTCAGCCCCTACAGCCGTGGCGCCACAAGAAATGAGCGACAGTAACGTTGAATCGCAACTCATTGCAGACAAAGATGAGCTGCCGCCTTCTAAAGGCGCAACTTCGCTGTTGGATCCAGAAGAGACGATCAAGAACCCCTTTTCGAGCTCTAGTGGGGCTGCGACACCCATTGCACCTACCACCCCCGCTACGTCCACAGGTCCAGGCGCATTCCAAAATGGGGCAGGAGAGGATGCCGCGGGTAGATCCACACCTACGAAGGAGTTTGCAGGTGGAAGTGGCAGCTCAGATCACTCAGTCACATCGAGCGCTCCTCCACAGCGCTTCTCGACTGTCTCTGATGCTGGCCAGGCTTCCACGTCTCGATGGGCAGATGAAGCTGGAGTAGGCAGTGGCCCCACCGTCGCCTCCGACACTGCAGTGGCTCAGGGCGTTTCCGCTTCGTCCGTGTCTGGCTTGTCAGACGGCGCCGCAGAAACGCCGACAGGTCAGGAGGCGCGCTTCAGCAGGGTCAGCCTGACTAGCAGGGATGGAGATGCAAACGCTCCTCAACATTCGCGCAAAGCAAGCGATCGGCGAAAGACGGTCATGATGGGCGGCGTCTCTTTTGCACCAGAAGCTGGAAGCAGCGCGACAAATACAGAAGGCTCGGCGAGCTTCTTAGCGCGGCAGACAGCTCGGATGAGTCGGGACGAAGAAGCAATAAGGAACAGCACAGATAGCGCGGAGAAGCTGAAAGAGAGTTTCGACAGGCTGCAGATGAGAGAGAAGAGGAAGAGCCTGCACGCGAAAAGCGATAGCTCCAGTCGGTCAAATGCTATCGAAGGAGAGACACAAAGCGCCGGAGCAGAGACCTCGAGCGCCGTTGTCTCGAATGAAGCCATTACGCCTTCGCGCTCTGGTGGCACCGACACCTGGGATGGTCCACCAGCAGAAGATCTTGGCGAAGAAGCCACAGATTGGGACTTTTGGGGCGGAGTAATGTCAAGTAAGTCTGCACAAGAGGCGTTTCGCCTCGTACAGCTGACTGACAAATTGCTCGAATATTGCAAAAAGATTATCAAGAGGTCGCACAGACCCAGCCAAGGGAGCTGAGCCGGGCTATTCAAGCTGGCATACCTGCTGCATTGCGCGGGATGATGTGGCAGCTGATGAGCAGCAGCAAAAGCGAAGAGATGGAAATCGTCTACGCGTACTACCTCAAACAGACCACGCCACACGAGAAGAACATACGAAAAGACTTGGCACGTACCTTCCCCGAGCAAGAGTACTTCGCAGACGGCAAGGGAGTTGGACAAGAGAATCTCTTCAACGTCATCAAGGCCTACTCGCTCTTCGACGAAGAATGTGGCTACTGCCAAGGCATGCAATTCGTAGTTGGACCTCTGTTGCTCAACATGCCCGACGAAGAGGCCTTCTCCACGCTGGTCCGATTGATGAAGAGCTACGACTTGAGAGGGCACTTCATCGTGGGCATGCCGCGTTTGCAGTTGCGCTTGTTCCAATTCGACAGGCTACTAGAGGAGCTCTTGCCTTTGCTGTATCGTCACTTGGTCCGCCAAGGTATCAAGAGCTCTATGTATGCCAGTTCTTGGTTCATGACTTGTGAGTCTTTGCTCTAGTGTTGCTTGCCTTCGGATCGTAAGCGCTCATTCTCGACCGCGTTTGTCGATTGTTCACTCTTCAATTTGCTCTCGTCAAACAGTATTGTAGGTCATGTGCTAGCGCTCAGGTCTCTATTGGCGGCTCGCAACTCACCTTCAATCACCTATCCTACTACGTGCAGTGCCTATCGAATGCCCCTCGGTATCATCTACCGAGTGCTCGATTCGGTCTTCGCTGAGGGTATCGAAGCCCTCTTCCGCTTTGCGATTGCTTTGATGCAGAAGAACGAAGATCGCCTGCTCACTCTGGGCTTCGACGAAGCCATTCCATTGCTGGCCGTCAACGTCGCAGATGTCTACAGAGTCAGTGTGTGGTTTCTCTTGTTGATCACTGCCCTCTGAACTTCGCTGACTGACTTGCGAGAACCTCGCTATCCAATAGAAAGCGGACCCTCCGGGCTCAGAGCGCCTGTCTGCGGGGAAAGCAGAATATAGGGTCAACGAATTTGTCAGGTGAGAGAGAGGATCGTGGTAACTGCGGTGCACTGCGTATCCTCTGAGAGCCTGATTGAAACCTGTCTCGCCACATGTAGGGACGCTTTCCAAGTGCACATTACGCCCCTAATGTTGGACCAGTATGCGGCAGAATTTGAAGAACAGGTCAAGGCTGCAAACGCGCATCGCAGGGAGGTAGAGGCGTTGAGGCTTGTCAATAGGAATTTGAGTGCCAAAGTCAAGGCTCTCGAAGAGCAGCTGACGCAGGTCAATGCAGAGCACGTCGACCTCGTCAAGGTGAGTCTTGTGCAGGCAATCTTGGATCTGCAGAGCGATGGCCCGTGCTGAGGTCACCTACTCCCTGTCACGCACTACTGCTAGAGCGTCGTCATGGCCAAGGTGAGTCAATTTCGCACAAATTCTCCATCAATTTCCGCTAATTCTCAATGTACCTCGTTACAGCTCGCAAAAGAGGAGATGGCCGAAGAGGTGAGTTACGGGAGTCGGCTGGACTTTTTTACCTTTTCGTACTCTGCAACCTGCTCACACGTCGCGGTCTACCTTGTGTAGCTGGTGCGATACAAGATGATGTGAGCACCCGACCATAATTGCGGCGACTTGTCGGATTGACATGTCAGCAGGGTCACAAGCTGAAACTTGACTCGCCATGTTCTTTTGACCTCAGGTATGCGGAAGCTGCTCTGCTGGCTGATCAGTCTAGGGAGAATGGACGATCACCCGGCTCGGAACGGCCCCCTTCTCACCAAAATTGGCCATTGGGTCGTCAAAGCAGCTCTTGATTCGGTTATCGACAATCACTGTGAATTAGCACAAATCAAGCATTGAGGCATTTCATTCCAGCTTCAGCCTGGAGATGTGAAGGCTGACGAACTTCAAGCATGTCGAATTCAAAGTGCAGCTGACGAAAGACAGATCGCCCTTGAGACGTGCATCGGGATCAGCACGCTCGCACCGACACTTACCGCCATGCGCGCTAACATCCGAACACCCATTTTCTTCTTTGGAGGTTGTGCCTCGTGAATGCAGTCCGACGCGCCGAGGTACGAGCTGAATCTTGTAGCGGTGATGGGTGCGGTGCGTATCAGGCGATACAAAGGAGCACACTCAAACTATACGAGAGGTCGCGCTGGGCGAGAGGCGACAGAGAATCAAGAACGCTCATCTCATCTGTTTCTGATGGAGGTACCCGAGTCTTCTTAGATGCCTCTCAATCGTGAATCCGCTTCGGTGCGCGAATATGGAGATCAGCTGACGCAGCGGCCGTTGGATTGCATGGCAAGTCTTTATCCCGTGATCGCGGCGCAAGCTGACAGCAAGGGGGGGGG